CATAAAATTAAGAAGTTATTTTTACTACAACGTAGGTATTGTGTCTGAAAAGGTGGAGTTTGGGGGTCGGCCCGGTCTCTATTTCAATTAATCCCATATGTTAGGTTGCTCACTTTACGCGTTTCTCACTTTACACGGGCCGCCGTGGGTTGAATTAACCGCGTAAAGTGAGGGTTCACTGTATATACAGTCTCTCCTCGACTTACGACGGGGTTCCCTCCTGACGACCAGGTCGTAAGTTCAAAAGGCGAAAATAATACATAGAAATTCTAAAATGAAATACAGTACAGTAAAAGTAATCAATAATGAAAAATTAATGAAGTGTTACTGTGCACTTAGCTTGAATGTAGTCAGCTGAATGCACATGGGGCCTCAATAATTTTTTAATTAAGCATGGAGACCACATTAATTGGATGGAGCAGCGGAGGAGAGAGGTCCGCCGTAAGTCGAGGAGAGACTGTGTATAATTTTTTAGTAAAAAAACAGCTAATGGTCAAACCTGCGAAAAACACGGGATTACTGTACACGACAGAAACATTGCTGTGAGGTGGCTAACTACCTCACACTCATGATAATGGGAAAAATAATGAATACTCACACTACTAATACTTTCTAAGCTTTCCCTTCTTACACTGTGAGCAAGGTTTTGTAGTGGAGAGACTGGAAAGTCAGTCCACAACTTGTGAATGGCTATTTCAAGCTTGGGAAGGGCGAAGGTGTCATAGTCATGCAACCTGCATTTAATAATCCTCCTTAAGTTTTCAATGGGGTTGAAACCTGGTGAATTCCCTGGCCAGTCTTCCAAGGAGTCAACACAATAATAATGAAGCCTATGAGGCATTATTCACAAATTAGCTCTAAATAGTTATGCTGGTTCATTGTTTCTGTTTTTGGAAGCACAACAAGCTCACCTACACCATGGTATGAGAAACAACCCTTCACCATGAAAGATTCTGGAAATTTTACGGTGCTTGCAGTGTACTGTGGTGCAAAAGGGTCGCTACCAGAGTGGCGGTACACTTTTCTGTTCCCTGTCACTGTAAATGTTGCCTCACCTCTACAGAGTATCCCCCTCCACCTAACCTCATCCCAGGCACAATACTTACTGTGCAAAAGCAAGTCTTTTCTCTCGCTGGGTGTGACCTTACAAAGTTTGGGCTGCGCAGACAAATTTCTGTAACCAAAATATAACTGACACTGCACTGTTGGTATGGACACATCAAGAAACAACCGAGTGCTACCCTCTTTTAATTGTCTTGCAGAAATGTGAGAAAACTTGTCAATTAGACATATCACAATATTTAATGTCATTGCTGGCACAGAGTCCTCGCCATTTTCACGAAAACCCTTCACTCACCGCTGCACACCTTTCACACTTATGAGGTAAACAACACTAATTTGAAGGCACTATGAGGTACAGGACACTTGTTTTACTATGTAATTGCTATTTACACTATTAACAATAATTATTACTGCTCCAGTGATTGATCACAATATTGTACGAGACACGTACTTGGAGGCTGGAGGTACAAACATTGGTGAAGTGGGTCAACTCCAAGGGGGAGATACTACATCACAAAATTTGGGAAGTTGCTGAGGAGTGACAGGCTCTCATGTGTAAGCGAGTGAAAGATAAATACCTTCTTGGCAACATAATCTAGCTAGGCCTGCCCTTTTTGTACAAATAGGCCCACAATAGATCAAAATGTCTCGAGAAGTTCTACAGATGCATGTCATATGTAACCGAAGCCTAGGGGTTAAGTGGGTTTGATAATTTACTGACAATGTGCAGTGTGTTATATACTGTACTCTTAACTACACAGTCTTCTATTAAGCAGTACTGTATACAGTAGAACCTTGGGAATATGTTTGACAGTTTTTGAAGGATGGCACTTGAAAATTAATTAAGAAGTGCAGAGTCAACTATGTACTGTATTGAACATTTTATTCCCACTACTCATGACATGTATTAGTTTGCTCTGATTTTATTGACTTTTTCTGTAAAAATTGCCGAGGATCAATTCTTAAGACCCAAGAAATGATTACAGTAGTCGATCATTTTACCACCGATCGTTTATCCGAGCCAGGGCTTTACTGTGTTTTATTAATTGAAACCGATGCTACTATTTAGCCGCATCAAACGTGCCTTAACTGCATTTCGAAGATAATTTGTTTTCAATTTTCCTGCCACTGTGCGCTGGAATCTGAGGGCAAGGGGTGGAAGCAGCAGTAACGACCACACACGGTGTCTCCCTGTCCTTTGTCATGTGCGGATCTAGGTAAATCGGTTTCATCTAGTACAGTAGTATACTATTGCATACAGTAGGATCTTGAGTTTCACCTTTACAGTAATTGGTACGGGTTTAGCTTTGCAAATAAATATTCAACACTCCCTGATAAAATTTAATTTCTGTGCTACTGACCCAGTAACACCCAAAAACCTCCCCTCATTCATATCAGGCCACTGTATGCAGAACGTCTTCACATTTATGGCAAACCTAATGATGGAATCTTTATTTAATATACAGTACAGTTAATTTCATTTTATCCATATTCCACCCGCCACCTCCACTCCCGGGCCATGCACCCAAATGTACTTTTGTACAGTATCTTGATATAATTCATATTTTATTTCTACATTCAATCATCTTAATCCATTTCATAATATATTCCTATAATAATATTTGGAATTTTGGAACTGGGGAACCTGTAATGTTTGGTATGAACACACTGGATAATTCCCTTCTCACGTGTGTTTGGGTCAAGGCTCGAACCCTTAACATATTGGTGACAGGTACGCAAGTTACTGCTCTACCACTAACACCCCTAAACAAAACATGTTGAACCAATGTGAAAGACAAGGTAATTTAACTCAAAATCTGTATGTACAGTAGTTCCTAGATTCGCCCATGAGCTGCTGTCACACAAACGACCACGTAGGGCGAGTCAGCTGTTCAGGCCACAACCACACACACTTTATTGTATGGTAAAATAGGTTGGATTATATAGGTTGGCTTGGCCAATTAATATTAGTCTCACACACATCATTTTTATCATGTTTATTTTTAAATTTTTAGTTGCGCTATTTTATTGAGTTATTGGTAGATACACTGTAAATAAAAAAATGTGGCAACTTTGCAGTGGGTGGCCAGCCGCACGGACTGTGATTGGAGATCTTTATTTTGATATTTTAAAACATGCAAGCATGAAAAATATATTTTTATTAATTATAAATACAGCAGACACCAAAATTCCAAGTGTATCAAGTGCCGTAAATATTCATGAGCAGGGTAATTGGGCACACACAACCCAGCCACATAGCTCATGAACTTAGCCAGCCAAGACATTAACACCACCACTCCACATCCCTGACAGGCAGACATTTATTGAGTTCCCTGTATATGCCTGAAAGGTATTATAGTTAGCTATTAAACAAGCAGGGCTAGAATGATATAGTTGTGTTAGAAGCTCTTTATCTAAAATAATTCTCCTGGGGGGGGGACCCTAACTGCAAGTGATCGCCTGCTGTATTTAGCATATACTAGTAATGAACAGCCACACTGAGGAGGCATTGAGTACCTGTCAACACATTGAGATGGGCACTTCTATGACTTGCCTCTTGATTCTTTTTGTTTAGACTGCTGATTTCTGGTTTATTTTATCCACAATTTACAAGTTATAAAAGTGATAAAGTATACTCAGTATTCATTAGTGTGTGTACTGTTCAGAAACACTGTTAAGCTTGTAGATGATCTTATTATAGCTATCTTTTTTTGTCTTCAAATTAAACTCAAGAAAGCTTGCATTGTCAGAGCACTGCTGTGTTGTCACTTGTGACAGAATCAGACATCATTGATCAGTAGTATGGCCCTTACCATAAACACAACAGATCCACACTGTGGAGATACAAGACAACCGCATTAAACAGTCTAACCTCTTGTTGTCCAGGATGACACCACTGCATTGACAATTAACTGACTGTCTGGCATTACTGTGTATCACATTCAATGAGTGAGTTACCAAAACCTTTGGAGGGGAAAATAGAAATTTATATGGACTCTGAATTTCCTGTTATAGTGAGCTGTGACACTAAATGAGGTGATGATAATTTTTACTGTATATGAACATATGTGATTTGTTTGTAGGAAAGGGTAATGTACTGGTTTGAGGTCGGGTGTAAGTAGTGTATATTTGAGGCAAGGTTGAATTCTTTTTACAACTGTGCATCTTTGGCCAATCGCTTTTACCGATGCTGTATCCACTTTTGCTTAGCTTATCTGAAAAATATTTGAAAATTTCTCATCTGTGTCAATTCATACTATCATCTGTATCAATTCATACTACAACCCTTAACTTTATGCTTGATTACCAGGTACCTAAGTTTACAACTTGGAAGTGAATGCGGTCAAGTGCAGTACCAGCTATACTGCGTTCTTTGTGTACCGAAGGCTTAATTTACAATGTGCCGTATCTACACTGTCCCTAACGTGCAGTCATGCTTATGGGACTCACTCACACTTTCACTGAGCTTATATTAGGGGGCTAGGACATAGTATAGTACCATGGTTCTTCAGACACGTGTGAAATCTAGTTAATACCTGTAGAAAGTTTTGATCATAAGTCTAACAAAAATCTTCTGATGTGCATTTAAGGCAATACTTTACCAAGTACAGTACTGTACAGTGGTCAGAAAATTTTTTGAGAATTCTTTACTGGTAAAGACCGTATTACATGTACTGGTTAACTTATTCCACTGCACTCACTCTCCATGGAATTTTTCTTCAATACTTAATAATTATGCAACTTTACTTTTACATAAGACTGTATTGAAGACAAAATTAATTGGTAAAACCTTTTGTTCAAACTTGTATATTGTACAAGTATGTGAGTACAATTTAACTTTATGTACTTATACTGTACAGTATAAGTTAAAAAAAAAACTTTAAAGCTTATTCTGTGTGATGTTTATAGGTAACATGAATTTCTTTTGTCTCTCCTAGGGAGATCTCCCGTGGGATGAGGGAGACTCTAGCAGTTTCCCTCCAGAAGGCTTCTCGGGGGATTTACCAACCGGCCAGCAACCTCAAGGGGTGAGTGTGGATCAGTGTTTTACTCAGAAAGCTCCTCATTATTGTATGGACTCCTTAAAATCATGATCTTTTGGTATATTGATATGGTCTTAAGTACATTTCAAGGGTACTACAGAGTACAGTATTATTGTTTTGCAACTTAAGTCATGGACATTTTATTTTGAGAGATTGTCAGGGGTTCAGATTTAAAGGGAGTCCACTAAAGAGGTGTTTTCTCTGTTGTGTCCAAGATTGGAAACAAGAGCTTCATATTTTGTACATGGTGGATCTTGGTACATTAAATTCAGAAGACTCTTTGAAACTCTTGTTAACAGTCTTTGTATTTTTCATACTTCAGTGATTTCTCCTTATAACTTCATTCTATTTTTTTTTCATTGAATTATGAATTTGAGATATGGGTTTCATCGAACCCAGTATGTTATAAGGAGTCATGACAATTTTCCTATACAGTATTCTATTTCATTTATACCATATTCATTGGGGGTCACTAATAATGTCATTGTAATCTCTGTAATATGGAAGCTGCTGTTGGCTCTCATCATGGTCATTTGTTTAATATGATGACATTAATAGTTGACTCTTTATTAATTTAGAATCTTCAAAAGATGCTATGCGTGCTAAATTTGGCAGTTTGTCGAGTCACGTTTAAATTTTTTTACTGAAAGGATTCCATTATCAAAGGGGGTATTCTCAGTGAGTCAGATTGAGTCATGGGATTTATTGCTTGGTATATATATGAAAATCCCAGCAAAACTGTGTGTGTGACCGACTGGCAAGTATAAGCACGGGTGTGGTGTGGGGTGCTTCCCGTCTGTTCTGTCCTGTGGTCCCCTGTGGGCCTCTGTGGGTGGCGGCTCTCTGTACTGTAGTCTCTCCCTACCGTGTTACCAGCTCTACGCAATGCTCCACCTCAAGTTGTGGAAACTTAAATCAACCAAAATGTCTTAATTAAATTGGTTATTATGAATCAGAAGTGTAATTTGACTGACTTCCTTACCTCAGTAGAGGGAGTTGGTCTGTTAAAGAGAACCTCGCGTTTCTAAAGCATAATTTTTGTAACAAATCGGACAGAACAGGAAAGTGTTGAGGGATATGGTGCAAACCTTTCAATGGCAGGGGAAGTTTCAGTGAAAAGTGTAGTTTGGTTGTAAAGCTTAGTTTTTAAATGTATTATGAGTTTGTGTGTAGTTTGTATTGTCCACTGCTGCAAAATAAGAAAATACTGCGTTATGTTTCCTGCACCAGCAGTAATTATCTGGAAGATACATATAATTGTTTACTTTTTTATATATACAGTAAATATATTTTGTACTCTGAATTACTGTACCTTTCATGGATAAAATTGAAAATGCATGAAGCAATGGTTGTACAATAGGATCAGACCCATTTTGACAAGACATGTGACGATAACGTTTGGCTACGTTGAATGGTGCTGAGACTGCGGTTTTCTCTGCAGGATGTTTGGCCCAAGTGGGGTTTGCAAGATGATGGCGGAGAGTTGAGTCTTGTGACTCTGCGGCACCAGTGCGTCGCGTGTCTCAAGGGTTTTCGCAGCCAAGCAGATTTGGGTCGTCACATGCGGACTCACACGGGCGAGAAGCCTTACAAATGCCCATATTGTGAGCGCTCCATGGCACAGAAGGGAAATCTCAAGGCCCATATCAAGAATGTCCACAATGACAAGTTGTGCCCCATATAACCAAAGAAATAAGGTGATTGTTGATCACAGTACAGACTCCTCCTGTCATTTGTACTTTACGGTTTCAAAGGCGCATTATTGCACCTACAGCAACAGACAAGAGAGTGACTAGCTTTGTTCTCTCCTGTAGGGGCTCTCAGGAATGATGTGTGGGCAGCTGCTGCAGATTCTGGAAGGCACTGGTGGATACTCCGAGGAACTGCTAGAGCCATCATCTACAAACAACCCTTCTCAGGTTCTCCCGATGGACAGCTCAGGGATGAGTGGCCTGACTCAGTCGTCATCTGTACCTGGTCAACTGGATGGCTCAGTAATGCCTCATCCCTCCATGTCTCAGGGCATTCGAACTCCAGTGCGCTTCTTTTGTCCAGTCTGCCCTAAAGGTTTTCGAAGCAAACTTGATATGGAAAGACACTTAAGAACTCACACTGGAGAAAAGCCTTTCACGTGTCCATATTGTTCTCACCGTTCCGCTACGAAGGGGAACCTTAAAGCTCATATGCGGCACATTCACATGGATGTTCGCCTTCCATTTTGAGCATGCCTTTGCACCCGTCTGCGTAAACAAATGCTTGAAACATGAAAAGAGCGTCTCAAACTGGAGGGAGTTATAGTGATTTGGTAAATATTTTTTGAAATTTACTATAAACTGAAATGCTATAGTGCAAATGAGTATAAAACTTTAATGACATACCTCTTAACCCCTTCAATTCTCTGTCATTTTATTTTATTTAGATATTTTTACTGAAGACACATACTGTATGTGTATTGGTTTCAAAATGCTTGAATGAATTAGAGTATTCTTGATTAGTTGATATAAGGATCTGAGAAAGACTTTAAAAGTGCCATATGTACGTGGGTGTGACAGTTCTGTGGTGATATCTATAGAGCTCCCAAGATTTTAACATGGTAGCTTTGTGAATGTCTTCATGGAATTTTTTTTCTGGAAGTAATAATATAGATAGATATCAGGATATGAATTTAAGATGTTCCACTTACTGAGGACAGAACTCTGTGATAATATGTCAAGCAGCTAGAATATCTGAAGGGTATGGAAATCACATCAACCTGCCCGTTGTGTTAAGTTCATTTCTCTGTTTACTTATTACCCTGAGTAATTTTTGCCCATGTTGCATCTGAGTGTTTGTGGGTGTGTCAATCTAAACTTGTCAATGCATCTAGTCTGAAAATTCTGGACAGATTGATATGAAAATTGGTAGGCATCATCATCACCACCACTCAAAGATGTAAAAATTATACTGTATTTGGGGTTATTACTGTATTAATATTATTTTTATAATAACTTATTTGTTATTTATCAAACAACCAAATAATTTTTGAACTGATTCAGCAAGAAGCCGAGACTGTTGAATATAAACAATTCTCGTACCCATATTTATATACCATATTATACAAAATAAATAATGTGCACTCGCTCCCAAAATATCTTGCTGATTATGTGCGAGACAATATGACACAACAGACGAAACATTTTGACAGCTCTACAGAAACAACGGGAGTTGCGGTGTTCATTTTGAAATTCATCGGTCCCCTCCATAAATATACCTCTTGGAGCAAGTGTACATAAGTATATATTTTTTTTATGGATATCGCTGGCATTACTACTTATATTAAGATAATTCTCTCGTATTGGTCCAAAATGATATACTGTAGTATACTGTATTTGTTTCATATAGAGTTGCCATACTATCATGAAATTATCACTACATAATTCATGATTTATTCTCAGAGTTGGGGGGACTGCCTAGTTGGAATAATTTAAAGGTTTAAATTATTTATTCCAGTTTCAATGTTAAAGAGACATATACTGGTTAAATTTTGTTGTATGTAGAGTAATGAAGAGCATTTCCCCATATGATTTGTTTATTGGAGGCTTTGCTGCAGTTAACGGGACCTGAAACATTATTCAGTATTTATTACAAGAAGTTGACTTGATTTGAACAGGTTTTCTCTGGACTTATGATGATACGCTAATCACCGTTTAAGTATCCATGCATTGCCATTAGACAACTGCACATTTTATTTTTTGAGTTATTCTTGAAGCTTTTGTTTAATAATGGAAAGTATGCATTGTAAATTAGTTTCATGGCTTACATACATACATTTACGAAAGTTGGTAGAGCATTTGTAAGTTGTACAGTACTGTATTCCTGAATGGAGTGGAGGATTTGGTTCTCATGGTACAGTAACATAGCCCTTGTACACTGCAGTAAATGAGTACAGTACATTATGGTATCAGGTGCACCCTTGTGGGGATTAGCATCCTGCCAAGGGATGGAGTAACCTAGAAGCTCCTTAATTCTAAAAATCTGATCAACACCTGCCTAGCCAACATATGTCATAGCAAGATGCTTGAAAGGATGAAATATGAATGTAAATATAGCTACAGGGTATTTTTTTTTTCATGTCTAGTGCAGCTATGAAATGTATCTGCTGCTTTATGTACATCCTACAATGGGGAAGACTACTTGCTAGGGAAACAATGCAGTAAAATATTTTTTATATAAGGGTAAATATTTTTCCAACAGTTTTTAAGAGTTAACCATTGTGTTCAAAGAACGCGAATCTTATTTAATCGTGAAAGAAAAGATACTAATTTGATAAATACAGGCCCCCCCACCCCCCAAGTTCGCGGTCCTCAGTTATTCGTGGGTGATACCCTGGATGTACCCAAGAATGTCTGTGGGTAGTTTTGAAGTTGCCAGCATTTTCACGGCTGGAACAGGGAGCCATTCATTCTAGAGACAGTAATTTCCTTTACCTGTATCGTAAATATATGTGTGTGTGTAGACACACTCAGAAAACACATACAAATACCATAAATAATATTAGGAAAATACTCTCACAAATAATCAGAAACAAATTTATTAAAAATGTGACAGTCTACCATCAAGTCCGTGCTCTATTACTTAAGTAATATATATATATATATATATATATATATACGTATATATATACGTATATATATATATATATATATATATATATATATATATATATATATATATATATATATATATATATATATATATATATATATATATATATATATATACACACACACACGTATATACACAATACAGTACAGGTAAAATAAATAATTATCCTATGGGGAAACACATAAAGGAATATACATTTCTTTGTACACAAGTAAAAATGTAACCCTTGTCCATAAATGTTATTCGTGATTTGGCAACTCGCGTCATTTTGAGAACCTAACCCCCACGAATTTTGGGGGGGCCCCTGTATTTGGAAAACACTCAAATTTGTTTAGATCTGA